CAAATACTTGATAAATTCAGCTTTAGCTTTTCTTCCTTTACAATAGTATATTTTTAAATTTTTAAACTTTTTTGCCACTGTGGCCTTTTATATGTATAGACCACCCTCATTGTTCACAGCATTTTGTCACAGAAACCCCTGCATGTTGTAACTTTGTCATTATTTCACGCTGTTTCAGGAATATAAAATTTGATCTGGTTTTAAAAGCCTCATCCTTTACTGGGAAAATTTTTGCCACCAGACATAAATGCACTTGTTTTCTCATCTCTAGGCTAACCAATGCTTGCATCCATCTCTGTGGAGGAAGTCTCTTTTTCCTCCCAAGGGCCACAGGCTCCTCTGTCTTCTGCATCAGGCACTAGCAGAAGAAAGAACTAATTCAAAATAATCGTTTGCTTAACATGTGCTGCATGCAGTTAATTACTTCTTGAAACTCTAGGCTCTTTATTTGGTAGGACTTCACTCTCGTTTTAAAAACACCGTTCTCTTCTGCTTTCCTACCTTCCTTTTGTCCATTTTTTTCCTTTGCTAACTCCTCTGACCTTCTCATTTGGTAACTAAAGGTTCAATTCCAGGCTGTCATCTTTTCCATCTCTGATCCTTGACTGAATGATCTCATCAGTGTATGGTTGCAAGCTTGTTTGTTTGATGACTCTCACATTTTCTCTAGAGCCCACATCTTTCTGCTGAGCTCCTGCTCTCAAGTCCAAACGTTTGCCTGACATCTCTTCTTGCCTATGGCTCAGGTTCTCTAACATAGCAGATCCAAAATGGAATTCTGAATTTCCCTCCTCTGATGTCTACCTCTCAAACCCTGTTCACTTTTCATGTAAAAAGTGCAAGTTTTATCAAATTACTGAAGCCAAAAAATTGAAAGTTCTTACTTTCTGATAGACGTCTCATATATGAGCAATCCTTATTGACACTACGTTGAAAATAACATCTGAAATCCCTCCCTTTTCTCATGGCTGTTGCCATACTCTTAGTCCAGGCCTCTAGCATCTCTAGCTGTAATCCAACACATCGACCTCTAACTGGTTTCTCCACTTTGGCCCTTGCTCCTCACCCCACCCCTCACAGCTACAACAGTCCATTCTTTAAATAGCAGCAACAGGGTTTGTCTCAATGGTAATTTGATAATTACCTTCTCTTGCTTAAAACTCTGCAAATGACTCCCCTTAAACTTCACATGACCTTCAGTCTTCTTCCTCAGGCCTAGAGTAGCCTTCCGTACCCTGTTTAGCCCCCAACCTTACTTCTTTCCGTTCTTCTTTCAGTTTGCACAAATGTCATTGGTATTATGTGGAAGCAAGGAGAGGAGGAAGGTAAGAGGGGAGGAACCAGGAAGAGAGGGAAGGAGGAAGGCAAGCACATTCCATTTCATAATGAGGACTGAAGCCTAAGATACCAGAAAGAAAAGGGCAGAGATAAAATACAAGCCCAATTCTGCTGTATTCTGAGCACAATACTATTTGTCACAATGTAAGGCAAAATAAGCAAACAAATAAAAATATCTTTCTAGTATGAAGTCAAGGGCTATTTAAGGAGCTAATCTGACTTTATAAAAGAGAGTAATTCTGAATCCTGATACGCCTGTGAAACTGTTAGCATAAGCTGAGCTTCAGTGCTATCATCTATAGAACTAAATAATAAACCTACCCCATAGCACAGTGAAGGTAATTAACTGATAATGTGTTAACATGCTTAGCATGCTGTGGTACTCAGTTCTGTTAGTTCCCTCCCTCTGTATTCTTTTCTGCTTTCAGAAACACTTTATTTGAGTTTCAAATGTAGACCAGGCAAAATAAAATGTGACTTCCTTATCCAGTGTAAACAACAACAGTTCCATCAATGTTTTCACAACCACTAATACCTTTTGGAGGGCGCCTGCTCTGTGCTAGGCACAGTAATGGGTGCTTTTTGTACAGCATTTCCTTGAGCTGCCCAACACCTATATCTGTATTTCCTGGAAATGGTAGCAAAGTATTTCTTTTTTCTAAAGATTTATTTATTTATTGAAAGTCAGAGTTACACAGAAAGAGAGAAAGAGGTCTTGCATCCAATGATTCACTCCCCAATTGGGGCAAAGTATTTCTTCAAGAACATTTTCCCATAGTCAAGCACATTTCTTAAATATTGGGAATTATGTACATCTGCTGGATAGGTATGCTATGTGACTTTAACTAGAAACTTTAAAATCTTGAGGACTCTTACATTAAACAGTATTCATTAGCTTACATATTACCATTATAATCATGCCATCATGGCTAGCTTTTTGGTTTGTTTTCTTGATGTTTGTGTTTGCTAATTGCTAATGTTCTAATATTCTTTGGGAGATGTATTTAGACTCAATGTGTCAGAGTTCTGTTAACAGATAGTATGGAGTGTCCTCAGACAGCTGAAAATAGGTCTACCATATGACCCAGCCATTCCACTCCTGGGAATTTACCCAATGGAAATGAAGTCAGCATATGAAACAGTTATCTGTATCCTCATGTTTATAGTAGCTCGACTCACAGTAACCAAGATATGGAATCAACCCAAATGTCCTTCAACTGATAACTAGATAAAGAAAGTGTGGTATATGTACACATTGTAACTACTCAGCCATAAAAAGAATGAAGCCATATCTTTCACAACAAAATGGATGCAACTGGAGGTCATTATGCTTAGTGAAATAAGCTGGTCCAAAAAAGACAATTGTATTTTCCCTAATTTGTGGTAACTAATATACAGAGTACAAAAAAGAATAATGTATATGAGAAAAATTGATATTTTGAGATTTGATTATTGTTTAGAGCCTTTGTCTAGACTCTTGAGAAGCAATGGCTTTTCTATTTTCTACATGTTGGATTCTTTTATTTAATGGAGAGTTAAGCTTATAATTATAAAGAAAATTGAAAGTGTGTCATTATAAAAATTAAAAGAAAAATAAGAAAGTTTGGAGTGAGGGATGGTAGGGTCAGAGGTTTCCTTTTGTTGTTAAAACTGTATATATTAGGGCTGGCACTGCAGCTCAATAGGCTAATCCTCCGCCTCTGGCGCTGGCACACCAGGTTCTAGTCCCGGTTGGGACACCGGATTCTGTCCCGGTTGCCGCTCTTCCAGGCCAGCTCTCTGCTATGGCCCGGGATTGCAGTGGAGGATGGCCCAAGTCATTGGGCCCTGCACCCCATGGGAGACCAGGATAGTACCTGGCTCCTGCCATTGGATCAGCGCGGTGCGCCAGCCATAGCGCGCCGGCCACAGCAGTCATTGGAGGGTGAACCAACGGCAAAAAGGAAGACCTTTCTCTCTGTCTCTCTCTCTCTCACTGTCCACTATACCTGTCAAAAAGATTTTTTAAAAAACTGTATATATTAAATATATGAAATTTATTCACTTTATGTAAATTTTAAAAATAAAGTTAAATAAAAATGATCAAATGAAACTTTGGTAAACTGCTGCAATCCAGATAGGATCTTCATTACTGCTTTTACAACTGGATATTATTTTTGTTATCTCCTCTATTAATTTAGAACTGTGATGAATTAGATTTTCTCCCTCATCACAGATTATTTTGTGGCTCATTATAAAAGTCAGCATTTTTAGAGCATATGAAGCCAAATTTGACTCACATGCAACACACACACACACACACACACACACAGAAAGAGAGGAAGAGAGAGAGGGAGGGAGAGATAGAGAGAGCTAAGTTAACTTGTACAGATTTTGTGAGAAAAACTTTGGGAGACACAATAGCTTTTAGTCTAAGCTGTTATGTTGGATTAAGTAATTAGATTAAATTTTTGTTTGAATTTTAAGCTATATCAAATGTGAAGAAGGTAAATGATTCATAGAGTATTAACATTTTATTCAAATTCATTTTTCCTATGACATAATTAAAATTTCAACAATTGTTCAAATTTATTTATGATATAATCATGGCTCTAGGCAGGAGTTGTAGGATTAAAAGAAAAAGATTGATAAAATAGTATTTTAAGGTGTTTCTTTTGGCATAGATGTTGTACTATTTTTATTTCATTAAGCAAAGTCATGATCATGTCTGGCACAGAGTAAGTATTCAATAAATATTCAATAAATAAGTGGACTACTATGCCACAAGAATAGTCTCAAGTTCCCAAACTACAACTGATACATAAATTTGCTGCCTAAATGTCCTTAAGAAGTACTCTAATGCCCTATATTTTCATTTTTTAAAATAAATATACTTGGGTTCTTTTAGATTCACTAGTTCCTATTAAGAGTATGTAAAGGTAGTCACCTAATTATATTCTTCAGCTTTAAAAAATGGTCTTTTTTTATTCTGGTAATTTTGAGATGGTTGGTTATCACTAGGCAGGTTTTAATACTTTTATATTAGTGCTGTCAATGAAAATATTTTCCAATGTCTTTATTAAATAATTATAAGGCCAAATTCATTTAGGAGCATTGCAATTGGCATAGAGACCCAGGCAATGAGATTTTGCAGTTGGGGAGAGAGCTTGAGCTCAACCCTAAATACAGGTGGGCACGTGGGAACCTATAGCTAAGAAAATGAGTAGGGATTGGTGGGTGCAAAACTACTAAATGGAAATATCAGAGGTCTGATGGATTCTGGCAAAACCAACCTAACAGGATTGTTTCTGAAGACAGGCCAGGGTTAGCATACATCACCTAGGGAATGGAGGAATATGAGGAACCTGTTTAGATATGGGGGGGGGGGCTGTTCATATACCAAGGGGTGAGTTTCTTGCTAAACTGACTTAGCAGTATTGTTTGCTAAAACTGAATTTTACAAAGAAGTGGATGAATGGACCCAGGAGAAAGTTTAGAAGCCTGACTAAATTTTGATGGAGCAAAGAATCATTGTGAAAAGATGTTATTCAGTATTTAAGATATTGTAAAATAGTCTTTTTGTCTTTGTTTTTGTCATCAAAGACATAATTCTTCTTTATTTTCTTCTTAGAGTTCTTTATGTGGTTCTATGCTTATTAGGGTTTCTTTATCTTGCCTTATAGTTATGTAGAAAACTACAGTTTCTTATGTTTATAAAGACCAAGAGCTACCAAAGAGAAAAACTGAATAGAGAAACTACTGAACAATAACAAGGAATGTAATATAATTCCCTGAAAGATCAGGTGAGTTAAGTTACTTTTATAACTAAGAGAAGCAATAGGATTTTTGGAAATTATGAAAAGCTTAAATAGAGTCATTGTTTAGCCATAGCTGAGTAATGAGCTGGTTTTCTTCCCAGAATGGAGTTTTGCCTTTCAGATGCTGACTTCAGTTCAATAGCAAAGTGGAGGACCTATTGTAAATGCAAAAGGTCTTCTAACTTGGAGATTCCAGGATGGTAGTACAAGTGCAAATATAGAAGGATAAGGTATCCTGCTAGAGAGAATGATCCAATATGGGAAGTGGGATACACAGCAGACTCATAGAATGGTGGATGTCCTAAACAGCACTCTGGTCCCAGAATCAGCCCTTAAGGCATTTGGATCCGGCTGAAAAGCCCATGAGAGTATTACAGGCATGGAAAGCCAAAACACTCTGGCAAAAAAAGAAAATGACCTAAATGAAAGATCTCCGTGAGTGAGATCCCAGTGAAAAGAACAGGTCATCAAAGAAGGAGGTACCTTTCTCTGAAGGGAGGAGAGAACTTCCACTTTGACTATGACCTTATCTAAATAGGATCAGAGTCGGTGAACTCAAAAGGCTTCCATAGCCTTGGAAACTCATGACTGGTGCATAGGGAGATTACTGATGCCATAAACAGGAGTGTCAATTTGTAAAGTCAACAACAGGAGTCACTGTGCACTTACTCCTCATGTAGGATCTCTGTCCTTAGTGTGCTGTACATTGAGATTTAATGCTATAACGAGTACTCCAACAGTATTTTTCACTTTATGTTTCTGTGTGGGAGCAAACTGTTGAAATCTTTACTTAATGTATGCTAAACTGATCTTCTGTATATAAAGAGAATTGAAAATGAATGTTGATGTGAATGAAAGGAGAGAGAGAGTGGGAAAGGGGAGGTTATTGGGTGGGAGGGACGTTATGGGGTGGGGGGAGCCATTGTAATCCATAAGCTGTACTTTGAAAATTTATATCCATTAAATAAAAGTTAAAAAAAAGAAGTAAAATCAAAAAAAAAATTGTATGCCCCTATAGGAGGAACAATGACAAAAGAAAGTATGTGGACATGATGCATCCACCTGTGTTGGTGGGGCTGCCTAAATTTCAACAGGAGTTCACATTTTCAGCTAAATAAATTGGAAACTTCTTCTAATGTGTGTGTATGGTGGGCAGTGTGTACATATGTATAGTCTCTTCTGAACAATGTGTTATGCATGAAGCACAGCAGAAAGCAACATGATGATTATGCTTAAGAAGATCATTTTTCAGGGGGAATGGTTTCTTACTGCATACATCATGCAGAAGTAATATTAACAAAATGTTCACATCATTAGAAGAGATCCATATCATGGTAAAAACTCAAAAATTTGACTAAGATGAATAGTCATGGAATGCAAGGGATGTGTTAGTCATCTCTTTGCAAACATGAACTCGCTTTCTCTAGATGTGACTGGAAACTTGTCTATCTCTCGAAGCAACTCCATTCATTGCTAGGGAATTTTGTGTGTTAAAGTCTTCTTTATGTTGAGATGCCTGCTATATCTCTGTCTCTACAGCTTCCATTGCCCTTTGCCCTTTGAGGACACAATGAACAAATTTAATTTCTATTCTGTGTGACAGATGGTCATTTAATTATTCATTCATTCATTCAACAGGCCTTTATTGAGTAGCAAACATATGCAAGCACCAAGGACTCAAAGGTCAAAAATACTAAACTGGGTTATCCAGAATGTCACAATCTATTACATCAACCCCTTGTGGTTGGTGTTCAACATGGTAAACACTCCCTGTTCCTTTTTTATTTTCTCACTTGTCACAGGTCCAGGTTTCTTTACCATTATTATCTTTCATATGAGTTTGAGTTGACTTTCCTGAAAGTGTGGAGTTCTGAGCTGAAGAAAGAGCACAGATCTTGTATCCCATGTTCTGAATGCTCTGATACTGTTGTGTAACCAGAAGCAATTATTTGTTGGTCACATCCTTTATGGCAGAAATAATATTATTTTCAGTAGATTGAATTGAATCCAAAATAATTGTCTTGCCAGCATGCCTCTGCCCAAACTATTGGTAGTAATTTATTTGCCATTACTCTCCTGTATCAATTCTTTGTGTGATTTTTACTATGTAATTTCACTATTTTGTGCCATCTTGTGAGAATGTCCCTATGGTGGCTTGCTTCAAAGCTACATGTATTTTTTTTGAAAGATTTACTTATTTGTTTGAAATTTAAATAAATTTTCTTATTTATTTGATAGTCAAAGTTGCAGAGAGAGAAAGAGAGTCGAGAGAGAAGGAGATCTTCCACATGAAAATTCACTCCCCAGGGCTGAAACAGACTGAAACCTGGAGCCAGGAACTTCATCTGGGTTTACCACATGTATGGCAGGGGCCCAAGCACTTGGGCCATCTTCCACTGCTTTTCCCAGGCCATTAACAGGGGGCTGGATCATCAGTGGAGCAGCTGGGACAAGAACCGGTGTCCCATGGGGTGCCAGCATGATAGGCAGTGACTTTATTCACTATTTCACAATGCTGGCACCTGAAGCTACATGTACTTTAAAAGACAATTTGTGATTCCATTTGTATTCCTTAAGTTTCTCCATCTTTCCCTGATATGGATAGGTCTAGAAAATGCCTATCAAGGTAGTTGATGAGTTACTGTGGGACCAGATTTGGGTAAGTATTGAATAGTATATGTTAGAATACAACAGAACTGTACATCTCCTCCCTCTCTTATACAGTTCAGCACATGCTCAATCAGATTTACCCCTGACAGTAGAGTTAGAAACATGCCAGGGGATTCCAATTCAGTCCCATCAAGGTGGCGTGTACCAATGCCATCTCACTAGTCCAAGTGATCAGTTTCAGTTCACGATTGATCATAATGATAGGTCTAAGAGTCAAAGGGATCACATAAACAAGACTAGTGTCTGCTAATACTAACTGATAGAATCAAAAAGGAGAGAACGATCCAACATGGGAAGTGGGTTACACAGCAGACTCATAGAATGGCAGATGTCCTAAACAGCACTCTGGCCTCAGAATCAGCCTTTAAGGCATTCAGATCTGGCAAAAACAACAACAACAACAAAAAAACAAAAAAACAAAAAAAAACAAATGCCCATGAGAGTATTTCAGGCATGGAAAGCCAAGACATGCTGCAAAAAAAAAAAAAAGAAAAGAAAAAACCTAACTGAAAGATCTTTGCGAGTGAGAGATCCCAGTGGAAAGAACCGGGCCATCAAAGAAGGAGGTACCTTTCTCTGAAGGGAGGAGAGAACTTCCACTTTGACCATGGCCTTGTCTAAATAAGATCAGAGTTGGCGAACTCAAAAGGCTTCCATAGCTATGGCAACTCATGACAAGAGCCTAGGGTGATTACTGACACCATAAACAGGAGTTGATTTAACAATTGTTAAATTGTTAAAACAACAGGAATCATTGTTGTTGTATAACTAGTTGTACAAACAGTACTTTACACTGTGTTTCTGTGTCGGTGCAAACTGTTGAAATCTTTACTTAGTATATACTAAATTGACCTTCTGTATATAAAGATAATTGGAAATGAATCTTGATGTGTACGGGATGGGAGAGGAAGTGGGAGATGGGATGGTTGCGGGTGGGAGGGAGGTTATGGGGGGAAAAGCCACTGTAATCCAAAAGTTGTACTTTGGAAATTTATATTTATTAAATAAAAGTAAAAAAAAAGAATACAGCTGAGATTTCACACTCATAATTAGTTAATCCTCACAGTAGCTCTGAGAAAGAGAACTATTCTTAATAGAGACAAAAGCTGGAATTCCATTTTGTTACTCTGTAACTTTTGCTCCTTGTACTGTTTTGTAAGAATTGTCTTCCTGTATCATGTATGTTGCTAGGAAGAATTTTGTTACTTTAACATCTGATTTGAGATGTTCTTTTGGGTAGGCAACTGTCTCTTAGTAAAATAACCAAGATAATTTTGGGGGAAGATGATGGGGTTAAGAAAGCATAGTCTAGAGGAAGCCAGTGATATAAAGAAATAATTACTGAAAGGGATAAGGAGAATTGTTGTATTAGGTGTAAGCAAGAGAAGTAAAGTGGGCAGAATATGAGAATGTGAGAAACTAGAGAATAAACAGAGCAAAGTAGCCAGAGGACTTTTGAGCACAGGATTTGTCCATTTCCATTATCAAGTTCTTTGCTGTTCAATTTTATGTTTTAATCCCTTCCCCCCTTTCTCACTGTCATAAACCTTCAATAACATCTGCCAAAGGCTAATGTCTCAAATGAGTGGAGTTTCAGTTGAAACCAAGGACAAGGGACTGTATTTAAACTCTGGACAGTAAAGGGCGGAAGGGTGGCAGGGAGATAGAGTTCAGCAAGAGTAAAATATCAGAATGAGAAATTAGCCTCAGAACACAAGTCTTCTGAATTTAGTCCAGTTTTACAGGAATGCTCATAGAACAGAGTGACCTCAGACAACATATGGATTACATTTACATTTTTGCCTGCCAACATGAGGCAACTTGAGTGCATGCTGTTCATTTGATTTTGGTTTCTCTCGTGCCTGTCCCTCAGATTTCCCCATTGCCTGTTTTATTTTCCATTTCCAATTCCATATTCAGCAACTTTTGAGCTGTTACCCAAATGTTCATCATTTCCAGGGAAATTTTTCATTTGCTACATGTCTAAAGTTTAAGGCCACTTGTTTTTTAGCGTATTGTCTACACAAATACAGTATGTTTTCTATTAGTAACTATGAAACACACTCAAATATGCCGTTCACTATCTGTTCCGATTTTCTTGGTTCTGATGTTAACTCAGAGGTTAACATCAGTATTATTTCCCCTTTTTCATCCATAACATTCAAACACATACTTTATATTGAGGCTAACCTGGGACTTCTTTTCATCTTGATCTTCTGAGCAGTGATATTTCTTTCACAAAAACAGTAATGATAAATACTGCACAAGTCACGTGTATCTTTATGAATGTACACTGTAAGGTCACAAAATGCAACTTTA